TTTTACAGACAATTTGACTCTTACCTACAGCATCTGGATTTTGTGGCTGTGTCTACAAACCATGCTTGGTAACAGAAAGCTTTGCAGTTGGACAGAGAACTGCATATGCTGAAACCATCATTGCAAGACAACGTTTATTTGAAGGTTCCGTGAGACAGGTTCCCCAGTCCAAATCTCTGCTTGTATAACATGGAGTGATGTTTCCATAATACTCAAGAACCATAGCAAATTGTCACACAATGGTCTTTTCTTCTAAAAAGGCACCTATCAGCTCAACTTTTGCTGTGGTCAGTCACCATTTCCATCACAAAGTTCTACTGTTTTGTACTTATAAAATATGGCAATAAAATATCATGCCAAGATTAAACTTGGCACACAAATTCTGTCCACAAGTAACCTCAATTAATCTTTCTCAGCTAGCAAGTAAATTGACTTAGTCATTTTTAAATCTCTTGAAAATGAAAGCTGTAGAGATTCTGGTTCTCATCATTTTCTCACAATCACAGGTCCACAGTTTCAGCACCCCTTAACTGCTCAGCTAAAACAGATGGCAAGGACTCCTTCTGAACCTGAATGTCCTGAGGAGGCTTTGTGCCGCGGATGGGATTACATATGTTGTGCCTTGCCTCGCCTTAGCTATGAAGAGTGAGGCTGAAGGAAGACATTACAGCTGGATTATTATGTGCTGACAAGCCTGGAGCTCAAAGTTGACTATAAAAAACTTGGGTGTTTCCCATTTGCACCACTGGAGATGCTGACTGCAGGAATAGGGACCTCACAGCCTTGACAAGCGTATCTCAGACACATCATGGAATCACCTGGAGTATTTCCAGGTAACCACGCAGAGGTACCTATATTCCTCATTCTGCTCTTTCATTAACTGCTTATGGAGGATTAGATTGGTAGAAATCAGTCTTGCAAAGTGTCCTGGAACACTGTATTTTAACAGAAGGTCAGTCTACTATAATACTTGGCTCAGTCACTTTTTGAAAAGTAAATTTAACAGAGGCATTCTTCAAAAGTTGTTTTTCTTTGCACTTAAATCTAAGTTCTGTCTGTTCTCTGCACCATTAGAGATTTGTTGTCCACAGCTGTTCAGAGGCTCTCACTTGCATTAGGATTCCACTGTCTTGTGTTATTCAGACCTTTACAACTTCCAACCCTGAATCTGCATCTGAACCCAACATCCATAAAGTTTCATCAGTGCATCCTAAGGGCAAAGAGGTCTTTGCTAACAGATCCTACTGTGGGTTCTGATCTTCATCCACATTTGAAATGATTTGTTTTCCCATCTGCAGATTTCCAAGAACAAAGAGGGGAAATAAATTATTACTCTGAATATCTGCCCCGTTCTCATTAATCATGCCCATGACGCATGTAAAGACTTCTTGGGAGCACTACTTGTTGCTATCATCAAGTCTCAGCTGCTGTCTTTTCTAGAGCATTTCAAACCGTACATATACTTCACAGTTCAGCTTTCCTGTTGCTACAATGTGTTAGCAATTAATGTACAACAAACAAGCAGACAATTGTCTCATTTCCAGGGAATAAAATCTCCAAGGATATAAAATGGAACAGAAACCATCCATCCTTTGCCATATTCTGAGAGTTAAAAATACAGCAAGCAATTAACTCCCCAAAACACATTAAGTGGTTTAGGCCATAGTTAAACAGCCACTTCAATTTGGCATATGCTTTTACTTCTCCTTAAGTCCTGTCCTCTCCTTACCCTTAACTATTCACTCCCCGCTTCTCCTTGGTGTTAGCACAAGAGCTCAGCAACGCTATGATAAGGTGGGCCAAAGAGCCGCCTCTACCAAAACCAAGGTTTTTCTGCTTAGCTTAGCTTTCAGCTGGGTCAGCCCCCTTGATGTGACTCATTGTAGTACCACTCAGATGCCAAAGGAGGAGAGGGTGAGATGAGGTGAGGATTGCATAAGCTTGTGTGACTGCCAAAGAAATGCTCATGCAACCTCAGCTCCAGTCCCAGTCTTATTCCTGGGGGCAGAAATGTGAGAGGAGTCTGCTTTCTCCACCGGCTTTTTCTCTGTCATTCCCCTTTGGCAGTGGCAGCTTCCCAAGTCCTCAGGGTCTGGAGCAGCTTCTCTGGGTAGCAGGATTGCTAGAGGTGCTGGGAAAATCCCAGCAATGTAGTGCTAATGATCAGCGCTCGTAACAGGACAAACAAATACAACCAAAGGACATTGCTCTGATCTGATGCAAGGCAACTGAAGCTTCTCCTTTGTCAAGATGCTGTCACTGCTTCCCCAGTTCAAGGGCTGAAGAGGGAGGTTATAGGATTGAGAAAATGGAGCCTGAGAAGATGAGGAAGAGAGCAAAATTAAAAATTGTAATATACCATTACACTTTCACCTGCAAATCTCTTCTTTTCCCTAAGCAGAACCTGTGCTCAACAGCCAGAGGTCACTAAAAGATGAGGATTTTCCTGCTGCCTGCAGTGAACTTCACTTTGAGCACGAAAAACATCAAATGCAGCTGGTTGGCTTGCAGTTGGCATCTCTTTCAAGCCCTGCATTTCCCTTTGCTACGCATGAAACATAATTTTGGAAAGCCAAGAGAGACTTGGGGGCTGCACAAATGGTTGGGTAAACACTGACTTAAAGGAAGTGCGTTTGCCTACTTGACTTCTTTTAAAATGTCACTAAGGCATCTGTTATTTCTGTTCACTGTAATAATTTGGTTTATTCCTACCTGTTACAAAGCTGCTACTCTCAATATGGCTTGTGTTAGAGAAAGGAAAGTGCAACTGGTTGAAGGGACTCTAGACACCTTGCTCCCAGAAAGGTATCTCCAAGGAGCAAGAGTGATGCTGCTGAAGTCCTGCTGCATGCTGCTCATAAGCAAATTCATGCCGGACTGACAGTCCTTATAGCAGACGGCTTCTCTTATTTAATGGTACCTCAGAGAGTCAAGGAAATGCAACTTTAATATAAAAAATCTAGAGCTTTCTGTTTATCTATATGCTCCACAGGCTGACAAAACTACTTCTACACTAACTAAATGTGCTTCACCAGTCACATCTTTAAAACGAAACTACTCAAAGCAGAACTATATTACGATGTCACCCACTTTACACTGATTGTGTAAAAAAGCTAAAAAATGCAGCAGACACCTTAAAAATCTGTTCTATGATGATCTTATGAGACATGATGTACATGCAACTATACGTCTATACTTGATTCAGAAGCAGACTTACGAGCGTGTTTACGACTTGTGAGATGTTCAGCTGGCCAAAAAATTGCACTGCACATGTAACCAACATGTAACCAACAACTTTGTAAAGCGAAACTCGTACAATGTGCCCCATACAGTTAGGACCAATTATGCACTGTTCTTACTTGCACTCTCTTGGAACAGCTGTAACTACACACACTCTCCAGTCCCTAAAAAGCACCTTTCTACATCTGGCACGCCTCTGCACCTTCAGGAGTGTATCTAAGCAGGCTATCCTGGCTCTAAACAGGCTGATGTTTCCCTCACACTGGGAAAACGTTGAGCTGTCCATGTACAGCAGATTTACTAGCCTTCTGTGTCAATCTGACAACTCCAAAAGACTGAGGCAGGGAAAAGATTTAGTCCTATAAATATTATTTGAACTTCTCTTTCCACTGGCCACAGATTAATTCAGTGTAAAAGTAAAGCATATAGTTAAAATTGGAAAAAATACAGAGCTGGGTTTTCAGAAGTTGCATTTGTCTAGTCCTGCTCCAGTTTGAGCAGGTTAAGTCCCATAGCTGAGCACTTTTGGAAGCTGAAACATGACTGCTCACTGAGGCTCTGGAGTAATTGCTTCTTGGAGGAAGATGGTATGTATGTACGTTAGATTGTATTACATGCTATATAATAAAAACAAAGGTTGTGCTCTTTTGCAAGTCTCAGGGTATGAAACTCAGCTGTTTTGGTCTGCACAGGCTTCCCTAACTGTTCACTTGGTTCTGATCCACCTGGATTTTCACCACAGAATTTTGCTTTGAGTTTCCAATTTGAATACATGAAAGCTCTGCCAAAACCACATCACATTCAAACCACAGGAAATCATGAATTTGGCACTGTTTTGATATGGAAGCTGTAAACAGTGTGCAGGTTCACTCAAAACTGGATCACTGTACTTTGAGTTATGAAACACAACAAAACTTCCAGCAAACCAGGTCAGAATTCTGAATTACTAAAGCAAGGAGAAATTATGTGACTTTTGCATGGATCAGAATTTTGTTATAAGTATTTTCCCCTGGCTTCTTTCCTTTAGATATAAACATACTATGCAGAAGAATAGAAAGAGAAGTTAGCTTTCCTCCTTTCCAAGTTTGAGTTAGAACAGGATTTAGCTAATTCTCACAGCTCTAACATACACGTATCCTATTAAAGACAAGAGTAGTTCCCTATTGGCAGTCTTGAGCACAAATAACTGTAAAAGCCAAAGTTATACTGAAGATATGAATATGGTTTAGATTTATGTGCAAAATGATAGGTAGTCAACTTACAGTTAACTTACACCACTGCTACAGGAGCAAGCCTCCCATTTAAAATCCACTAGATTTTCAGCTGCCAAGCACTGGGATTTTTTCCCCAGGATTCCCGTTAGCAAACCACAAGGAACTTTTATGAAAATGGAAAAGTCTAAAGCATGATTTTTGCCTTCAAAATAAACACTACCCTAAAGAAACACATATTTGTAAGGAAGTCACAAGTTCATTGAGGATGAAAAGAAAACAATCTAGATTTCCAGACCAAGCCTGAAAACAATTCATATTCCAAACCTACTCAAGCCAGAAGTTTAAATGCAGAGCTATGCGAAAGTGGTATAGGAAGCAAAATGTAGTCATGAAAAAGAAGATTTATGTTACTGTACTGCTTGCAAGAAAATGCAGTTTAATCTTGTTGAATTTCATTTTTACCAGATTTTCAAACCAGGCATTTTGGATGTCAGAAAAACTCTGCAGGGATCCATAACACAGAACCATACATCAGACATATCTGACCTGTCATAGAATTTTCGGAGGTACATAGTTGCTCTCGCAGCTTTTCCACGTCGTCTGGATGAACTTGTTCGTACAAAGTGCTGCCAAACCATTCAGACTGTGGCTGGTTCAGCACAGGAGTCACAGAATCTGATACATAGATCACTCTTCCCGTCTCAGCTGCAACTACAAACAGGAACCCATCTGCAGCCTCCAGGATAAGATGTTTCAGTTCCTTCCAAAGAAAGGATTTGATTAGAATGCCAGCAAGAAAAGGGAATCAAATAACACATCTGTCACTGCCAAAGAATATTGTTTTCTTGTGATCTTAGTAGCTGATCACAACCTAGGCAGAAATTTTCGCTGTAGCACTGATATAACAACACAAACAAACTAGCAGCAAGTCATAAAAATGCTGATCTTAATAACAAACACCACTGTTTTCCTTTATTGCGTTTCATCTGGTGATCTCAATGCACTTTAGGAAAATTAACTAAAACGCGCTGCATATTGTGTGATAGGCATCTAACATTTAAAAAATAAAAAGTTATTTCAGAGTACAAACGGAGGAAATGAACAGCTATAACTCATTTGGGCAAACTCATCCCTTTAATTAAATGTCCTGAATAATTTAATTGGAAAGAAACCAACAAGTATTTCTGGTTGTTGGTTGGTTTTTTTCCTCCCTCAAGATGAGCTCTGTTTGTTTGTAAATTAAACAGTCACTGGATAAAAGGCAGAAAGTGTAATGGGAACAAGGACAGGAATCCTCAGTCTCCCCTCCCATTAGGGGGCCCAAGTCACTACAGGAGAAGGTTGTATCACTTCTTGTTTTCTTTTCCAGCCTGTGACTATGAAGTCTCAAGAGATCCAAAGGATCTGGAACGCCCCTCCCTTTGGCCTTTTGCTTACATGGTCTCCTGCTCATCATGCTGAGTACTTCTGTCCTGAGACACCTACACATCTGTCTGACGTGCAGCACCCAGAGCCCCAACCTCACCTCGGCACTGGAAGGGGGACCACAGGCCTTTAAAGCACAGTACTTCTGTCCCTCACTTTCACACACTGGGTTTAGACATCCAATACTCTGAATTGCACATGCAAACAGATGTTTGTATGTATCACACAGAAACACCACCTTTGCTTAACAGAGCTTAAAAACCTCTCACAGTAAAGGATGACAACTACCACCCCAGTTCCTGGGAAACAAGCTCGAATAGCCTTTGCTCGGTGGCTCCAGTGACCACCAGAGCTTGTTAAGATACTGCACCTGGAACTCAGAGAGCTTTGGACAATCTGAGTCCCATTCCAGGTGAGACAGCTCAGCACAGTTAGCACGCAAGTGGCAAATTTTGACTGATAGGTGAGGATCAAAATCTGGTAAATTGTACTAAAGAAACAGATAACTCATCTCGGGAAACACTTAACAGACTGTCAACTTCTGGTGCTTCACTGTAGAGAAAGCACATCAATTCTGAACCACTGGCTAAATAAAAAACCTCACTGCATAGCTGGCTGCACTATAGAGAGGATAATGAGACCTGTTTTGCATACATTATTAACAAAGATGAAGATAAACTCTGTTGTTTTGCAAGGTTCAAAAAAACTCAAAGGGCAGCAATGAGAAGTGTCTAGGGCGCCCTACCAACAACTTGAATGGCACAGTCCCTCCAGAAACATGCTTCTAGAAAGCCAGAATAAGTGAAGATGTGAACACCGAGAGGTCAGCAGCAGCTGCTGTTTCTCTAACAGAAAGAAGTATTACCTCTAGCCATAACTTACATGTGTAAGTGCTTAAATCGTTCAGACCACAAAAATGCACATTACACCCACAGGACTTCAAAAACAATGAAGGTGGTAGGAATTTTCAGTGCACTCAGTTAAACATGGTTTTCCTTCAATCACTGGGTGCACCTTCCTTCTTCCATCGAAAATGTAACCAAGGAAGTACCTCGGCCAGTACAGATGGGATTCATCTTTGCCCAGTTCAGCTGCTGGGAACTTAGGCATTAAGACTAGACAATGTTTTTAACGTTCCTCTAAACCCAGGAGGGAAAGGCGGATCTTTCCAGATTCATTTTTACCTATTTTAGAGAATCTTTGTTAGGATGGGAAGGAGCCAGTTCTGGAGGTGAAAATTCCTTTCCAGTGAGGAGAGGCAGCAAGTGACTTGCTTTTTGGATGGACAGACCTCAACGATAAGAACGCCCATTATGCTGCTTCAGAGAGAAAGATTTGTTGTATAGTTAAGATAAAGTCCAAACGGTCACAAAAAATTGTGTGTATTCACACCTTGGATATGTAAGTTGTACCAGTTACTACAAAACAACGAAGGATCAAGCTGAGACTTTACTCTCAGCATCTCCTCACATCTTTTAAGACCACAAACCAGAGAAAACAGACATGTGCAAAAAATCTACCTGTTCTGTAAGGAACGAAGGCTTGTAAGCTCCATCAGTAGATTTGTTTCCAGTGCCCCTCATAGATTTCATGTGTGAAACAGCCATCCGAAGAATTGTCAACTTGTCAGGTTTACGAGCCAACGCGCTACAAGTGGGTACCATATCAGACAGTTCGGTGATGTACTGTGTCATCTTATTTCTCCTGCGTCTCTCAATTTCACTATGATTCTCCCTGAACATTTAAAGAAACACCAAATCAACAGAAAAGCAGACATGATCGATGTGAGAATTTCAACTGGAGGTAACAAATCGTAATACTTCACTCTCGTTTGCTCTCCTGGGGTGAAAACAGCAGAAGTGCTTTACCAAGCTGAGCACTATTATCCCTCAGTTTATAGACAGAAAAATCCAGGCCAGAAAAGGATAAACATGATTTGTCCATAGCTGTGAAAAGAACCCATATTTCTAGCTATTGGCTTGTGGCCTTAATCTCTTAACCAGTTTAATCTCCTTTGGTTTAAGGACAAAAAATTAAGTAGAAAGATGTCAGGAACTGACAAGTGCTAACTCCAGTCAAAGTCCTAAATTTGCAGCAATGCATCTCACAGCTTCCAGTCCTTGCTCGAGGTGTTGGATCTGCTCATAAAAGCCCTCTTTTACAGGAATCCTCTCACTAACAGCTGGATCAGGTCAGCAGTAAGGGTCAGCGCTGACTTACAAAAAACCCCACTCAATGACAACACAGATCTCCAGTCCTGTAATGCTGTGTGGAACATCCCGCGTCCCTGTAGGGAGACACTACATGCCTACAGGATCACACTGCAGGACTGGGACCAGATATGGTATAACAGTACATAAAAAAAACCAGTAAATTAATAAAATGAGTACAAAAGACAGCAAGTAAACATCTGGCTTGTCATAGACAGATGAGAATTTATGTCCAAAAACAATCCAGCACAGTAGGGAAATAACAATGACAGTACTTGATGCTGCCCCACTTTGGGTTGAGCTCCAGTGTCCTCATCCTTTACAGCAAACATATGACTGAGGTGGTGAGTCAAATTTGAGAATTCTCAAAATGGACAACCACCAAAAGCTTTCAGAACTGCAGATCTGGGAGTTCAGTTTTCCCATACTGGAAATCACCATTGCTTGATCACTACTAAGGAATTACACCAATATATATATATGAAATGGTCCAAATGGACCTACAACACTTCAGTGCCTAGCATTTATTTTTCCCATACTGTACCTGTCATGTGGCAGCTAAATACAAGTACAGGACAGGTACATGATGTTTCAGATGTCAAAGCAGCGTCTCCACCGATTTCAATGAGCTGTGCATGGCATTTTCTTGTGGGATCGCTGGCTGATCCAACAAGACGTGAAAGGTGATCACTTGCAGAGTCCACCACCATTGACCAGTATGATAACACAACATTAAAAGAAACGGCAACATTCTTTGGAGTTGACTGTTACGAATGATCATGAAAACAGAAGCTAGGCTTGGCACGCTTTTGGCTGCTTTTAATAATGAAGTCTTTTCTTAAAATGCAAGAAATCCCAGTTTTAGTATGCTGCTTCCTGAAATAGAGGAATGCATGGGCTTGCCCTGCTTTACAAATGTGTATCCTGCCCCTGGACATACAGGTATCATGTGCATGAGGCATTGTCTCCAGAAATACCATTTGTTAAGGCTACATGCAGAGATATTATTCCTACTGATGCCTATGCTTACTATCTGATAGTCAGGAAATCCAGCTATGGGACCCTACAATGACAGCCCACAGTGGTTCAGTAAAATACACCCAGTCCCTTGGTTAAGGTCATTATCTACTTAACTACTTATTACACCATAATAGTGAACCTTTCCCTTTCAAATGGCTGATAAACAGCCTTTGTGTAGGTCTGCCCAGATGTAGGAGAGAATAGTGCCTGTGGGAGTTGGATCGTACACACACACACACAAGCAGAACAGCTTGTGTGACAGTGCACATGTATGTCAGACCACACGTGTGTGTGTACATGTCAGCATATGCATGCAGGTAAATATGGACAAGGGGAAGAAAAATGCGTTTTTACATGATGAAACCTTGCTCTAAGCTCAGCATTTTCACAGAAATGATGATAAGGAAAAGAGAGAGACACAAAGAACACACATATTCAACATATATTTTACATTTATAAATACATATTACATTGTCTTCCACTACAGTATTTTAATACTCCTGAACATTGAAAACAACCATTATAAAGAGTAAACGAAGAGACTGCAAAACTTCCTGAGAAGAATATCCAACAGTCCATTTCATGTATGATCATAAAAGCTAAAAAGTAATAGTATGTTAATCAACTGGCCATGAAAATGTTCAAGCAAACAAAGCCCTGAAACTTTCCTGAAACTAGTTCAAATTTAAACCCTTGGCAGAAAAAGAAGGGCTGTGCTCCTCTTCCAAAAGCATCTGCCCTAGGAACCCTGGCATTCAGAAACATGTATACAGACCCATGTCCTAATTCTGTCATTTCTAACTTTGTTTTTACATGGAAATTTTGGAGGGATGTTAAATTTTGGGAGACTGCGGGAGCTGATCCAAACCCACTTAGGTCCAGTGTTACTATTTCTGATGCCAAGCATTTTTGGAGCAGCCAACCCTCCTGACTTTTCATCAGTCAGAACGGTATCATATAAAATAAAAATGGGGGCACACCATATTTGATTTGCCTTTTTCCTACCTGGCCATCCTTTCTGTGTCAGCAGTACTTTGATCATCGTCCCACCTAGAAACAAAAGTAACCAGCTCTCTAAGCTAAGGCACACGTACTCAGAGTTTCTGGACACGAACATCCCCCTCTTTTCTCTCAGCAGAAGAGCTCTATAGAACACGCCTACCTTGCAAACTTTTCCTTATCACCAGAGATTTGATCACCATCATACCTAGAAACAAAAGATATTAAGTAAATCCACAAGGGTTATGCATTGCATAATAGTCAACACACAGCAGAAAGCAAAGTCACAACTGCAAACTATTACAAATAACAGCAAGAAAAACGAGGGCATGAGAACGATAAAGCAAAGAAAATGTAGAGTCTGATGAAACTTCCAAGCCATGCCGATTCAAAAGCTTCATTTGCATATTTAAAAAGTTGGAGACACATTTTGGTGGATTTATGCAAACACTTTGACATACACTCACTGCTTGGAAAACTTAACAACCAGCATCATTACAGAAAACACCATTGAGCTTTTATCGACAGCAGCCCATGAAATATTCATTGCTGTGTTGGAAGTGAAAGAGCTATATCTTTTCTGGATTGCAACCACAACTCACTCCATTCAGCAGAGGGCACTGATGGTCTACAGATAACATGGGAGGGCAGAGACACACGCTTAAGTGCAATGTATTACATAAGGACCCCTTCAGAAAAAAGCTCTAGTAGGTACAGACACTGCACCGTTTGTTGGGAAGACTGGCAAAAGTCAGCCAGGCAGATGAAACTGCTGGGTAAATATAAGTGAAATTGAAACTGGCTAAAATTCCTAGAGGTAAAAAGGTACCTCATTCCTACCCAAATCAACAGAAGTTAGATACCCAAACAGGTATGTGCAGTGTATCAGCAGCAACTTCACGGAGGAAATCCAGATCAATGGGACTTTTGTCCCTTGGGATTAAAGCTTCACTGTTTCTGAAGCTGTCCCAGAAACAGGCAGCAATGTGACATTTCACTAAAAAAATGACATGCTGCTCCTGCTTTCCCTTTCACATACCAATCATTTGAAATTAGGATTTGATAGTATAGTTACGAAAATACGCATTTGTTTGAAAAAGATCTTACTTTTGAAGAAATCAAATTGCTTGTCCAAAACCAGAAAATGTAGGTTTTTGAAAATAGAAAAATAAGGCTAATGGCTTTTCTAGAAGCAAAGAGTATTACTGCTCAAGAACAGGCAACTGAGCTCGTGTATTAGAATTATGTCTTTCCAAAATGATGTAATTTATCACAATAGACAGCCTGTAAAGGTCCCATGTATCAGCTAACAAAGTAATACTGCATAATTAAGCACATTTTCTCTTCTGAAAAACTAATAACGGATTTCTTCTTTTCTTCCCAAATGAATTAAAAATAATTCTAAGTATCCAACTGTGCAAGTCCCTCTATGAGGTTTCATATTTTCCTTCCTCATTAAGCCTCACTCAAATGCTGAAGACAAAGCTCAAGTGAGACTCGAGCTGTATTTCTTGCAATGCTGTGCAGCACCCTCAAAATAATCAAGTGAAAACCTCTGATGTTACCACTTGACTCTGCCCACAGAACAGACTGAGCCCAAAAACTTTTAAGCAGAAAGACAGATGCAATGAGGAATGGCGACATGCCGTTACGTGAGAAGAACATGCATATGCCTCCATGTGACGATGAGATGCCATGCAGAGATATACCTGAGCTGGCTTGGAAGTCCCTGAGAAGCAAGGTGTGTTAACTCACGTGGAGTACCGTACTGTCACCACTACCTCCTGTGCTCCCACTAGCCTGGGGCTTGTCTACTCATCCTTGCTTGGTTGGCTGGGCTGAAGATGTTACTGCCTACTGTTTTGACCCTTCCAGGCCAGCTGACCTCTCTGCGCGCGTGCTTCTTCAGGCACTTCAGTCAAAGCCAGCTGGGTTAGCTTGAACATTTCAACAGCAGTTCTTTGCTAACCAAATAATTTTGACTGAGACAAGCTAGGAATCAGTCACGTGAGCAACTTGGAGAACGGAAAAGTCCTAAAAGGAGGGCACAACTAGAAGAGGATGTCTGAATGTGGCCCTGGGCGTCTCTGCACTGTTCTTCTGTACTCTCTAAAAGTGGAACAATATGGGGTTTTTACAGCAATTAAGAATTAAATATCAGATTTTGATCTGACATCTAAGATCAACTGAGTTTGAGCACAGCTGCCGTGGTTTAGCCGGGCCGGCAACTAAGAGCACAGCATACCTCTCCAATAAATATAATGGAACTATTGGCTCTCTCCACCACCAAACTAAAAAGCTGAAGCCAGGATGGACGGGGACCAATGCACATGCACCAGTGTGCCTAGAAACCCTGACGCTTATGCAGGCACAAACCAGATCACACTCATCACAAATCTTGTTCCCTTAACACGTATCTTCCAGCAAACATTAGGACTAGCCTTCAGATCACCAGTTTTAACACCGGAGACTGGAATATGCTTTCTATAAATGGCATCAGCTAAGCAGGGGTGCTGCTGGTCTTGTCCAGGAGGTTACGATAAGGTGTTACGACACATCTTCAGTATATTTCTTTCAGACTGACTAGGAAGATCTTCTTAAAACCCTACAGTATGCCTGCTGCTATAGAGCTGCAGTTACAAGTTGGATAATCAGCAGTTATCTGTAGGCCTCAAAGTATCTACCCTTACTGCAGCTGCTTGGTTTCTAATGAAAAAATGCAAACAGTGTGATCAAAGAAAAAAAAAAGGAAAAGTGGAAAAAATGGCAATGATGCTTTAATGTTTATTTCCAGTCTAGAATATTCCATGCTAATTAACATTTATTTTGGCAATTTTTACTATTCAGTTACACCTAATGGTACATAATGAGCTTTAATCTTAAAAAAACAGTCCACACCTCTGGGATCTGTCATATTGTCCTAACAAGCAGTTAACAGCTGAAATAAATTCAAAATAAAATTCACCTTCAGTGGCAGAAAGACAACTTCAGCAATGTCAAATAACCAAAGTTCATCCACAGCGGTTGAAATAATAAGCTAAAAATCACAAATTTTCTCATTTGACATAGTTGTGGAGCAAAATTATGACACACACACTGTCAGTTTTGTAAGCCAATAACTACATTAGGCAGATTTCTGCCAGGATGCCTAACGTGCAGAGGAAGCCGATAAAAACAGTAACCAGAATTTAGGTCAAGTTGTTGGCAAGTTCTTCAGGCATATTCGTATCGACTTTAAAACATCAGTAGTGAGACAGCTGTCTTTCTCCACTGAAAGAAGTCAGTAATTTGGCCAACTCTTTGCACACGCTCACCTTGAAAATTTGCTGGGTCCCTCCCCATCTTCATCATCGAAGTCCATTCTGTAAAAGTAAGATTTCCAAATCAGTAATCATGGCATTGGCAATGGTGACACGAACATTCAAGCCAGTGGTTCTCAACCTCGTTTAACTTATATTTTGACTGGAAGTGTTAACAACTGTAGATTCCAGTCTTGCTCATATTCTCCAGAACCTCTAAAAGTAGCTCATCAGCTGCCAGGAATACAAATAATAATTAAAAAAAAAAAAATCACTGTTCTTCTACACAGAAGTCTGCACTGTGAAAATCAAAAAATTAAAGGAAATATTAAAAAAATGCAGTTCTTGTGAGATGGTCAGAAGTAATACCTCTTACACCTGACAGAATTTTACAGAAATCAGTGGGGACTCTGTGTTAGAGGACTGAAATTAAGGCTAAAGAAAAAAGTTCTAAAGCTGTACACATAATCAATACCAGTCCATTATTTTTGCCCTAGTCTAAAGAAAATATGTTAACAGTAGAGCAGAATAAACTCCAGGCCTCCCTGCTAAGAGGTTTATCTACATCATCACTACTGATTTTAACCGAGGTGCACTCTGACTCGCCCTGTATTACCAATCATTTCACACAAATTACCAGCCAGTCTGCAGATGGCAACTAGTTTGTGGTATTCCTGTGGCTGTTACTAAAATAACCTATGGGTCTACTGTGCACCTAACTTACCTGGTTTATGTCCCAGACTTTCTTCTTAAGACAGCAGAAGAGATGAGCCCTTCCCTAGGCCAAATCCCAGCCCTCCAGTTAGGCTCCTCCAAGGAGCCACAAAAAGCAGGAACCTCTTTCTTCACTTACACAGAGAGACTAGGAAGATTAACTTCCTAAATTAGCCACCTAAATTAGTTTCCTATGTTAGGCAGTGTGACTGTCTCCTTCTCATTGATATTGTCACTACATAGGCATAAAACAGTGTACTTTCCCAAGCATTTAATATGTTTTTACACGTTTAAAAAAGAGGTAGAAAATATACATCCCAATTATAAGGAGGTGACTCTGCCATCAAGGTAGACTAAGAACCAAGCTGATATAAAATTATCATATACAATTGTTGTATTAGTGAATTTATTTTAATAAGAAAATACATTAGTATGATATGCAGACCTTCATCAGTCACTTAAATGTAATTCATGTAGACAGGAAGTCAGTTTTGTTTTGCAAACAATTTTGTTGGGTTTCTGTAACACTCAGCTTTCTAACATCTCAGTGTCATAAAACATCATACAATTATAGATTTCATGTCTCTTAATGCTCTTCATATTAACTACAGATATTAGTCATATTAAACACAAAACCCCTGCAAAGTGACAATAATATTTATCTCAGTATTAAAAGAAACCCCTACCAACTAAAAATTAACATTTGTATGTCCAGCTTGTGGGAACAACGATGTAAAAATGCTCTCTAAAATTACATCAGCATAGAGAATATGAGTGCCAGTCAGGCGATACTGCCTTGCTTCCTAACTCTGATAACCAAGGCAGATGGGTCTATAGAAGATGTGTCTGAGTCACAGCAATCTACGTACAATCAGGACAAGGGCAGCAAACAAGCACAGGAACTGGAAACGGTGTTGGAAAAGTCACAATAATATTTTCCAGATGGTAACAGTGATTATTCGTTTCTGGAGGAAGCAGAGGGAAAACCATTCTCCCAAGAGCCTTAAGAAAAGTTGTGTATTTTATTTGGTTAAGTTTGATGCAATCATCATTTTCACTCTAGATTAGGTTTTGGCTCACCTAATTATCACCCGACCGGGTTCCAAAGGCACCAACGCTCAGCTGCAGTGCGTGGAGCACCACCGACCTCCACTGCCAGCACCTCGCTGGTGCCATGGGAAGCCAGGACCCAGCCGACATCTGGCTGCCTGTCACCCCAAACATGGCCTTCAGCGCTGGCACCAGCACCCTCCATTTCCTCAGACCCGCTGCATATACAATACTCCCAGGAATTTAGCATTTACACATTATCATCCAGTCGAAGGCCTTTTCTTCAGAGATTTAATAAAACACTATTTAAATTTGGGATGGATTAATTTTTTAACTCCTCGCCGTCTCCTCCAATACACTGAGATCCCATGCCTTGGTAGATTTTCTTAGCTTGCAGTCAAACACTCCAGCTGAGTACTAAGAGCTGGATTTTCCCCCCAGAATCAAATAGCAGTTCTACTGCATTTAGTCAAGTTTATTACTGCAATATAATGCACAGAATTACAGAGAAGCTGATGGCAGTTTAAGGCTGGATCCTGCTGCCCGCGCTGTATACTTACTTCCAAAGGAGTAAGTGGGACTAACACATCTATTTATCTAGATGGCTGGGTATCAGCTTCTCATCTTGATGGGTTAATATCCATAGGTAATACCAACCACAACTATAGTGGGCTCATCACAGCAGAATCTGAGCGTCTAGGGTACAATACCAGACTGTAGCAGACTAGATCTGTAAATAATGCCTTTGCTGTGTTAAACTACCTAAAAACCTTGACTTTATTCCAAATATAAGATTACTAAAAAAAAAAAAAAAAATAAATTGAACATAAAGTTAATTAAAAATGTCAATATATGTAAAAATGCAACAGCAAATATATCTCTGTCCCATCTTTGTTAATAAACACATTTCTTAATTTCACATTTCACTGTCAAAATGAAAAAAAAACTTTCAAAACGTCTCAGGTATAAAGTCATTGATTCCAATGACCTGCCTGAACCATCATGTCTGCTTAACAGCAAGGTGGAGTGAAAGATAGGGGAATCTTTTGTAACTTTTAGTAGAACACAGCAGAACACATCGAAATAATATTCCAACAAACTCCTCATACTCTGACAGATAAGATCTTCTGTTCAGATAGAATACTGCACATTAGCAACACAGGAGAAGCAGCCTCCAAGAAGACAAATGACATCATTTCAGAAGTTTCAGAAAGAGTATCTTTTATCTTCATTTAAAATTCCCATTAAAAAGATGCTTTAAAAAAGAGCTGCACTGTGCTCTTCTGTTTTGAAGAGACAGCATAAATCTTGTTTTCCTCTCTCATACTGTTCATGTCAATCATGAAAAGGCCTGATGCATGAGGTACTTATTAAAATATATTTTCCTCAAAAGATGTGTGGGTATCATAAATACTTTGACAAAAATATTTTTTAAATGATTTATTTTTTACTAGAAGCATTTTCACACACCAAAAAAAAACCACCCTCCAACAAGGGGGTCCTGCACAGGTCAAAAAATTGATTTAGGAGAGGATTTGAATATTGCAACAAAATTATGATGCAAAATTCCCAAGAAACATCAAAAGATGGCTTGCCATGAATATACAGCATAGGAAGGGGACAGGCAGGAATGATCAGGAGCAGACACAGCTGAGGGGCAGATGGGGATCTCTGCTACAGCCTTTTGTTCAGTACAATATCATGGGTACAAGTAGGGAGGGAGGCTGGTGGGCTGAGGTCTCTTCCTCCCCATGTCTTACAGTTCCAGGTCACAGAAAAGACAACAGTATATGATGAACTGAAACAAAATCAATGCAACAGTAAACCAACCAATCGAAGAAAACCCACCAACCCTCCCTTCCCAAGTACAGATAACCGAGGAAGGTGAAAAAGCTCCATATCCAAAAAAAAGGTTAAATAAAGAACAGACATTATATTAATCCAAGGTAGTTACTGACCACTGCAGCGCATTATCTTATGCTGTCACTTTCTTCTATAAAGTACATGGTACAAATTAGAGAAAGTAAAAATATTTTTCCGAGCTGTCAATGAAGCTGAATGCCTACACGGCAGAAACACCTGGATAGCCCAGGAGTCTAAACTGATCTACATTCAAGTCCATGCAGCAATTATTCTGCCAGCTTGCCTCAGCAATTATGAGAAAAGAAACAATTTTCAGAGATAACTGAAGCTGGAAAAGATGACTGTGTTCACTAGCTACAGTCCTTTATGTTTGACACAAAGCATTCATTTCTAAAATGCCCAAGGATTTAGGTGTACAAAGATGTATCACCAGGACAGTAATGAAAGGACCAAGTGTTAGTTGCAACTTTGTTCAAAGAGAAGCTAGGAGGAATTAGACACAGCAGGCATTCTTTCCCTCAAGGTCTGAATACATATACACTGAACAATAATAAATAAATAAATAAATGCACCCTCAGCTCAGGCTTGGAGAAGGGCTACTAGATCAGAGCTATGGTGCACAGATAAAATACCACTGTGTGGGTATAACAGCAAATCTATACTAACTTACTGAATTTACCTGTTAAATGCATTTAAAATAATTTAATTTTATGTTCCTCCCACTCTCCCCCCCACTCCATTTTCTTGTAAATAGATGATGATACTTAAAATGCAACGCTTAAAGCATAGCTTTCCATTAATATTGTCAGTATTTAACATAGTCAGAAGATTTCGCAGTTAGCAGCATCAACCCTTGGTAACAGCAATTTGCAAACTGGTATTTGCAGTTGACATCGTTTATGATCAAAAAACCTGCAACTCCAAAGTACAAAAGCTTATATACGTTATGCAGCTATGAAAAGAAGTTAATGCTTTGTTTTCTCTTTTGAGTACAAGTTTGAAAAGGCTTTTCATTGAACACGTTCAAAATAAAAAACGTGATGTCTGTCAAAGACAGATTTCAGGAGTTTCTCAGACCAATTTCACACCATTAGCTCAGCATATGAAGCACACTCAATGAGGGTAAATCTCCGAATTGTCCTGCCCGAAAGAACTCCCCTCAGAACAACCATCCTGAGTGTTCATGTCGCACCAACTTAAGCTCCACATCCAAGGCAAGGTCCACCTTCTCCCTTGTTAATTCATTCCAGGATTGAGACTCCAGCACTGTTACTTGAGCAGACACCTAAAACTGGCACCGTACCTTGGCGAATCCCTAGAGTAGCTCTCACAAGGAATAATGTCTTCTCCTTAGGTGTCCATCAGTGAAGATTTTACTCACACTATCAATCCTGTTAAGCCCTACCACTGTTATATTTAAGGCTAAATATAAGACTAATCAATCTCTTTTGCAGGCACTCTCGGATCAGATAACTCTGAGAAAGCATCACCTAAAGACTGTTATTTGTGACCAACTTTTGATAAAACCAGGTGGTTTTTGTTAATACTAGAGTGAGTAGTTTTCTGCCCTTCTGCAGCTCTTGCTACACTTTTCTTCTAACACAGAGGATTAGTATGAGTTGCCACAGAGCAATCTCATGTGGAAAAACTATCTCGACACCACATCAACCTCTGAAGTTGGATAAAACAAATTTTCTTCTTTAGCAGAGCCCTCAAGCTAGTGCAAGGGCTGAAACTGATTCAGCCTCTTTCTCCCAGAAGCAAAATATGCTGCATTTCCAGCGAGACCTAGAATATTGTAGACCACAATCTCTGAAAAGTGACTGCTTTTATAGTATTTCTGTACCTATGCAGATTATAAAGAAAACATTTTTAACAGAAGGCCTCTATCTGAGATATTCTAAGTCCAAACTTCAGATGAAGTTGGATGTGCATGTGCAAGTAAGAACATATCTCACTACTTTTATTCACATGATAAATCCTTTTGAGATTAAACAGATGTAGGCAGTACGCATTTATTACATGCACAACAGCCACGGGATCCAAACTCCGTTTCTGGATGCTTTGCCAAACCTGAAAGTCTTTTGAAGCATGTAAAATAACAAACACCACACTTATCAGCAAGTTTGATCTTGCAGGAAGAGCAGATACATTGAAGAGAAAACCAAAACATCAGTGACTAATGCCATAATGTAGTTTAGGTACATAAACATTGCATGATAAACGTACACACAGAGGTACATTTTCACTTTTTCAACACCAATCATTTCCAGTTTCAGACCTCAAAAAAAAGAAATGGCTTACCCAGAGCGGCGCTTTCCTCCTCTGGAAGGCATGGATCCTGCCATTCTCACTTGTCCACTTGCCATTGGTGCCACTGGCAAGGCCACCGAGCCAGGAATATCTGATGCCATTTCTGTAATTCAGAGGTAGAGAAAGAGGAGGGGGGGAAGAGAAAAAATCCTTTAATCTATTACCTTTCAAGGAGAAACCTGTGACAACATTAGAGAAAGGCCCTTTCAAAAATAGGCAGAGAAAGCTTTCCTTTTTATTTCTAAGGAAAAGTAAAGCTCCCCTATCAAAGACCAGCAGATTCAGAGCTCCCTTGAAAGAAGTCCAGTTCTGTCAATAACCATTACGAGTGCCTCAGGAGACAGAGAGAACCACAGGTAGGTATCTCTGTATTTCAATTTACCTAATGGTTCTAATTTTACTTCTCAGAGAGGCTGTCAGGTGAAGGCCAACAACCTTTCACAATAGCTAAACTGCCCCGTAGAGGAATACAGAGCTGAATTCCCAAGACAAATGAAACTGCATCATGGCACCAGGGTACCAAGAAAAATAAAAAACTTCTCAGTTTCCCAGTGAGGTAAAGAGTTTAGAGCAGGGATGAATTATCAGGTGACACTGGTTTTCATTATTGACATTCTAGTGGCATTCAGAGGACCAGAGTGCACTTAGCAGAGCTCCAAGGCTTCCTGTATTTCAGCGTGTTGCCTTGCAGAGCAGAACTGAGCCCAAAATCCAGGCTGATATTCGCCCCTCTGCCAGTGCGCTGGGTATAGCCACAGGTTAATGAGATCTGCAAACCTCAACTTTGATCTGAGGAATATCAAGAGCACCTTATGCAACATTTTTCAGATTGCTAATGGCAGGTACGTTTACAACCTATTAATAACAGTTCACTTCAAAAAAGAAAAGTGAGAATATATACCCTCTTCTCTTATCCCATGGATTAAGCATGTTTTGCCTCTGTTCAACTCTTGTAAACTATGGAAGCAATTAAAACATTTTTAATGCAGATATACTTTACTCACTCTGGAGGTAAAATCTACAGTCACAACATTTAATAATCTTGAAAGAAAATGCAGCCTCCTTCCAACTTTTTTTTAAAAAGAACTTGGCAGATTATCTGGAGCTACAGATAAATATACTTACTAATGAAAAGTAAATCTGTTAAAAATCCTGCTTCTTTTTCCCCAACAGGTAAGTACAAAAGAACTTCAATTATGGAAACAGGAATCCATGTTCTTTTATTATGTCTGGGGAGCACTTCCTCTCTGCCACACTTTATATAAATCCATTATGCAACATTATGCATTTCAAATAGTAACATTTTATCTGTTCACTGATTTAATGAATTTCTTCTAGTACATTTACTTTTATTAACTCCTTTCAACTAAAAAGCAACAGAGCAAAGTACTCATCCAATATTTTTCAAAGTGTGCAAGGACAAACAATGAGACCTCTGCCTACAACACCACACCACAAAAAGCCCCACTATGTCTAAAGCTGCTGCTATGTGAAAATAGTACATTAATGTCTATTAGCATATTTCCATACAAATAAAAGCATCAGCATCCAAACAACTGGTAAATCACTACTTCCAGAATAAGTACCCTTAGCAGTTCAATGCCAATAATTCACTTGGAACAATCAAACTCACATTTCATGGATAGAACCGAAGGTCATTTTGAAATGCTCTGCTCACTCATTTATTAAAAAAGATGATAAAAACCATAATAAATCTACCTGCAACGCATCCCTGTCACTCAGAAACACATTTCAGTATAGACCATCGAGCAGATCAGATTTTTTTTTTTAAGTAGTAATTGTAAAACAATTTCAGATCAGCTCTGAGCAGTATTTTAAGAGAGTAAAAACAATACCGTATTTGTAACTGCAATGAGAAATTCTTGTAACCTCATTTTCCTCAATTTAAACAAAGATGATGAAAAAATGGACCAAGGGTTGGATTCAGCTACTCTTAAAAGTCTAAAAGCCAAAGCTAATTATTTAAGGTAAGTTTAAAGATCACTAAAAGGGAAACAAAGCACCATCCTTGCACTACTATGCATCCCATGCTTAGAGCTGCATCTAAAATAGGTTGAGTAAACCTCTTTCTATAGGTCTCTTGTTCTCACCACTGACAACTCAGGGAGACCTAGACAGATAGTTTTGATCAGACGTCCAATTTAGGTGGTTGTCCCTGGGCAGAATGAGTTGGTTTTCTGCTCTTACGTTCAATCTCTAATGTACAAAGACATGAGAGGTAAGGGTAGTTAGTCACTTTCAAGTAGTAAGGAAAAATAGACACTATGTATTTTTTATAAGAAAAAAGAAAAAAACAAAGGCTAGAGGAATGGCCAAACCACAAGCTCAGTTATATCAGCGTCCAAAAACACCTGAAAGAAAACATTCTGCAACAAGTAGATCATCTGTCTATCAGGATGTAAGATGAAGAGTTACTGTGCAGGTATCTCGAATCTCTAGAATGGCACATCCAAAACAGCGCAAGGAAGTAACTTCTTAAACAAAATAGCCTTTAAATATGTGTTTACAGTCCTGAGAGAACAAAAACCAGTTCATTGAGCTGACTGCTCTAAAAAGATGTCTCCAAAAATGTCCATTTCCAAGATACAGAAGCACAAGGGAAAAAAAAGTAGAAGTCAGGGGATCCACACACATTAATCCACGTGAGAGGTCAGCTAAGAGGGAGGAAGGCTTCAGGCCCTTCAAATCAGAAGACCTTCTATTATGCAACAGTCTGAAGGTGTGACAGAACTGCACATACATCAGCTTGTAAGACACCCAATTTACCCTTCCACTTCAGAGTTTCCCATGTCAAAGAGACACCAGGCATTGTGCCACCTACCACAGCTTTCACAAGACCCAGAGGGTGGATGTATACTACTAACAAAAGCAGTCAGCTTTCCAAAATTCCTTTACGGACCCAACAGAACTAGGGTCCTGCATGTGGAGAAACCAAGAGGGCTGGGTCTCTTTCAACCACAGAGCAAATACAGCAAAGAAAACAACTCCAAGGGCAACACCACCAAGGAGCACGGAGCATCCAGAACCAGAAGAAAAGAAGAGAAAAAAAGGAAAAAAGACACCCATAGGCTGGAATATCAGATAGAAATATTGTGGTAGAGAGGTACTCCAGGGAGCCTACTACCATTAAAAAAATAACAAAACAAAAGAAGTGTGCACTGAACACAGACCTAAAGAAAAACAAATAAATCTGAAGGGTAACCTGCAATTGTAAGAAGTTACAACAACATAAATTTAGGGCAGCCCCTTGAAAGTAAATTAAGCTATATGCTACAGCAGAAAACTATTATGAAAGCCCAGCACTGCAGAAGCAGGTGTCAAGCTGGTTATCCACATTTAAAAAATAAAAGAAAATTAAAAAGAAGGACATGCTGGGTCATCATAAAGATCAAGTTTCCAGGCTCATTTACACCCACGTCCAGACACATGTTAGCACCGATGTTCACAGATATGTTTCAGCAGCAACGAGCATTAGAAAACAAGCTGTTCTCTTTCTGAAATTGGACCTTCTGAGAGTGGACTTCCCTTCTGCCAACAGAAATAAAACAAGTGTTGCTTACTTTATCCAAAATTAAAACATGAGCATAAGGGTATAATGTTCGGAAAGTAAAACAAGATCAGGCTGAACGTTCACGAAAATCATCTAGAACCATCAAAGAAGTGATCCGAAAAAAAAACCCACCACACTATTTAAAAGAAGTTCCTTAGTGTCAAAGAGAAATCACTTTTCTGCTGCAAAAACATATGCAGTATTTAATTTCAAAGTTAGAAAGTTACCTAGAGATCTGCCAAAGAACACAGAAATGCTATTAAAACAAAACCCAGCACATCGTCTCTAGCGGATATTCTTCCCGTTTGATGACACCTAACAGTTCTTGTCTTATCGCTGTCATGCCTGGGCACAAGCCTGATCCTGCCACTAATACTCATGTTCATCTTGGAGATCTCTGAGAAGCCACACTAATCCAGAGACAACGTCAACGCTCAATATAAAAGCAGCAGAATTAGTCCCTCCATTCCTGTCCAGAGTTAATTTCGCTGCCGAATACTCCAAGCTTAGATATTACACTTTCCTCCAGCACCGCATGTAGGTCATCCCCAAAATATTCAGGGATCTTTTTGAAACAAAAGACTATCTGCAAATGTACGTTGAAAATACAGGGATAAAATACAGGGCTTTATTCCCAATAAATTTCACGTTAATCTCAAACTTATAGAGACCTGTACCAAAACCAGCTACTGTGCGCTTCACAAAGCAAAATACGAAAATCGAGCCAAGTGCTGCACAAGGGAACCTTGCAAGTGCACATGAACCACACTCACAGCAAGAACTGCTGGACAGCGTAACACGCCAGGATGAACCTGGACTTCTCTTTTTAGGCAGAGAATCATCAAACCACAGCTCTTAAGCCCAAACTTTAAATCTTGAGCCCCACCCCAGATCCAGTGCCTGAAATGCAGCTCTAACTCATCTCTAACACAAACTTATGACTCTCCGAGACACTCCCCGGGAAGCACAGCTCTTGGACCAGGTTATCTTCACAGCCTGCATCACACAGCTCCGGAGATGGCCTTTCCTTCCTGCTCCTCTCCAAAAACCACAGCCGTACATCTTGCTGTGAGGCTTTGAAACACAACCAGACGCTGTGCATGACAAGACTTTGTAAGCTCGTCTTACCATAGGTCCTATTAACCACAGTTTTCAGCCACTTGGGCAACCCAGGCTACCTACACGCGCCAGACACAGACAGGGCCAGGTTCAAATCTGAAGCCTACTGAAGAAATGCTTTCGCCGACTTCAGTGGACTTTGAATCCTCAACATTAACTTTAACGACCAGTTCCAGGTTCGCTATTACATGTCAGGAACCCCTGAGCATACTTTCCACAGGGCTCCTTTATCCTTCAGTAAGTACTATGATAAACAGGGTTCAAGTCAGATACCAGCATCTGATTAAATGAACAAGATTCTACTTTTATCAGTCCAAATGAGACAGATTTCCAATCGTTAACCCGTAGAACGACTGAGATGTCAATCACCTCCAAGCAACTGTGGAACTAAGAATTACGAATGTGCCCTCT